ATTATTATTATTATTATTATTATTATTACCGATACTGTCCTCACTACCCCAAAGGTTAAGCCCTAACTCCTAACACCTCTTCATGAATCCTAAATAAGAAGTGGAAACAGATTTCCTGAGGCAGTCTGTTGTTACATCAACCTACATATGAAAGCTATGACCAATAGCAGGTGTTTGTGTCTTTTGTTAATGAACCTACTAAACCTATTACTGTGTAAATCCATGTCCACACATTACTGCTCATGTAAAAGTGATGGTTTGTCAGAATAATTACTGTACTTTACTCACAGTTATTATTTAAACAATTAAAGATAACAATGTAGAAATATTATTTCCTCAGTATCAGCCAGGCATTGACTCTGTACTCTGTTGTTATTGTCCCTCACAGACTGGTGCTCCTCTCTGCCTTCACCCCACAGTACCAGTGAACATGCTTCCCTGCCTCACTGTCCTTCTCCTACTGCTGCTCAGTCTAACCAAGGCCCAGTATGAGAATCTGGGCTACCCACCTGGATACCCAGAGCCAGAGCTGGAGCAATATAGCGCCCCCCAGCTGTCACCAGACACACCCAGGATACAACTGCGTCTGGCTGGAGATAAAAGGAAACACAACGAGGGACGCGTGGAGGTTTTCTACAACAGTGAATGGGGAACAGTCTGTGATGACGACTTCACCCTGCACGCTGCTCAGGTGGTGTGTAGAGAGCTGGGCTATCTGGAGGCCGTCTCCTGGTCTCCGTCTTCTAAGTATGGCAAAGGAGAAGGTGGGAAACTTAAAGGATCGTGTGTTGTTTCACTGAATTTGTTTGAGGACATTTTATATCTTTTTTTTATATCTTTTTGAAGTCAGTCATGTCTGAACTGCTTTTTTAAAATTCTGCCATTTTTGTAAGTGCACATATTTAATCTCTTTACCTGTTTTTTTTTTGTTGAACATTAAACATTTGTTTAATCTTTGTACAGCTAAGCTATTGTTTATTGAAACTTTATGATATTTTAAATATTCTTCCCACTTGTGTCTATGTTACTGGCCTTTTTTGTTGCTTGTGCAGTGTCTTGAAGCAATCAGAATGCAAGGGGTTTTGCAAAAGAACTTTAGAACTTCACAATTTTTGTTTTTTGCACAGTTTCAAGAAAAAAATCTGGAGCCTGGTAAAAATCCATCTCTTTATTACCATCATTAAAGAGAACTATTTCCTTTCAGTGGAAACACAGTGAAATCATATTCCTTTTGTTTCCTCAGGTCCCATCTGGTTCGACAATCTCCACTGCACCGGCCAGGAAAAGACCTTGTCTCAGTGTCCATCCAATGGGATTGGTGTTTCAGACTGTAAGCACAGTGAAGACGTGGGTGTGGTCTGCAGTGACAAGCGGATACCAGGCTTCAAATTCGTCAACACCTTACCCAATCACGTTGAGGTAAAGTGGCAGACATTACATTAAAACTATCCATTCTTTAGTACTGTCCAACTTTAGCTTCACCTTTGGTAAACTTACTTTACTACTCAGGATTTGAGTGTGAGTATGTTTAAGTATGACGGCACTGTTCTTACTTCACTAATTCTTTGATCTTTTTGTGTGGAAAACTGACATGTGTAAATTGATCATATATTTTTGAGGTCCTGATATAATTTGGTCTCAGTCCAGGTCTGTGGGGGTCTCTGGGGCTGTAGGACAATAGTTTTTACCTCACCGTCGGCTGTCACGATGAGACCTGGACCGTAAACATTATTATTTGGCTTCAGATTAACAACGATAAACATCACATGGTCATTGACTGTTCTGAAGATTCCTGACTGAGACAACATACGGCTGTGAAGAACAAAGTTCATTTATGAACACAGTCTACACTTGTACACTGTACCACCATCCCTCTCGTACAGATGCTGACTTCCATTCAAATTCAGATTTCCCTAGTGGAACTCAAGCACAAAGAGGGATTTAACATGAGTTTAAAAAAATTAGAAAAAAAGAAGATAACATAATGCAGATTTTTTTTTAATGTGGGATCAAAGACATGGCGTCATGTGTGGTTTCATCACTTCAGTCCATGGATTATTTTTATCCATACAGCTGCGAAACACAAGGACAAAAAACTGATTTTTTTTTTTATTGCTGTGGTTTTTGATTCTTCTACTCTATATTGGGCCTTGTCTCATTTTGAGGCTGTTTTTGATTAGCTTTGATATATCGCAGGTCTCTATAATGGCGTTGTCAAATGCCAGCTGCTAATTACCAACAGCAGCCTTCTTCTTTGCCTATGTATTAGTTTTTTTATTAATTTTTATGACTCTTTGTGTAACAATGACTTTGTATTAGTTGGACCAGCTTTTCATCATTATCTTTTTTCATCATGTTTGTGGCCTAAATGGTGGTTGAACCTTTAGCTTTTGTTGGATTAGCTTTTATTTATACCTAGCTCTTTGTGCCTTTCCTCTATTTTGGTTACATTTTGATGAACATTTTATAATTGTATTCGACTTTCCATATTCTCAGCTCAGTTTAAAGAGTTTTAGTATAATTTTGCTAACTTTAAAGAATTCTTATTCTGGCCCACCTCTCATTGCCATTAACAGATTAAATCATATAATAAGTTGGGGGGCTAATTTAATAACTGAGTCCATTTTTAAATTTAATTTTAAAATGTGTCTCCTTCAATTGTTATGAGACTCATGTAGAGTCACAGAAAACATTAATACTGCTCACAGTTTCTTTTTTCAGAATAAATTAAATCTCTGCTGCTTGGAAACAGCTTCATACACTCAAAGCCTCGAAATTGACCTGCCTGAATTTTAACAACATCCCCTGTGTGAACAACCAATGGTGAAAGTGGGTAAATGAGGTGGACTAAAGCTGATAATTATTAGGTGTTGCTCATGTAGCTGTCAGTGTCGTCTGCAGCTGATGGAAGCTCTGAAAGGCAAGTGGAGCAGAATGTGTTCTTAATGCTCTATAGTCCGGCCTCAGGGATCGACATTCCAACATGATGAGACAACTGAGCGTCACACTAACCTCCCTGCTCCTGTCTCATTTTCTATGTGATCCACTCCGCTGCCGCTTTAAACAAATAATAATTTAAAAAAAATCCATATTACTGATACTATGTAATGCTTAAATAGCAGCTGACATAAACAGCTCCTAATTGTATGAATTAAATATTTTAAAATGCCTGTGCATATATTCTTAAATTTCTACAGATACACTATCAGTTTGACTAAATATGTGTGCTCTGTAAAGGATTAGGGCTGCATTTTAAATTACATTAAATCATCTTTTCATCCAAATCTGATTTTCACATAGCTATTTTAACTACTGCAAACATTTGACTCACTTTTATATTTTGTTATAGTTGTTACAAAGTTGCCCTTTAAACTGCTGAAGGCTAATTCTTAGTGGACATTCTCAGCCAACTCCCTGCTTGAAGGGGTTTACAGACACAAATAGTAAAGTTTAGGATTCACAGAGAGCACGTCTTCTGAGGTCTAGACGTCTGGAGTCAAGCTGGGATAGTCAGAATGGAGAGGAGAAAAAATCAAACTCAGCTTTTCCGTCCTCCTCTTAAAAAAGCTGATGGGGTTATTGTCTGGAAGTGGTAATCTTGAGACTTGGGCAATGTGTAATGGTAGCTATGACGACATGTTTGTGGGGCTTTTGTGGTAAGGGATGATTAGTAGGCTTTGACTGTTTGTGGTACAGCTGTCTCTCAGGTGATGTTACCCACAAGTGGTGTGGTCAGAGGAATTCTCTGTGTCTGAGCTAAGGGGGAAGTGAAAGATGAACGTCTCTACATGCACGTGTCACCAACCACTGAATGTTCCCTAGGCATAAGTGTCAGTATTTAAGCTTTGTTATTTTTATTTTTTACTTATAACAGTTGTTATATTTTTAAAGGTTGAAGCTAATACTTGCTAAATTTAGCTACATGGGCTAAATTCATTCAAATTTATAAAAAAAAACTTTTGGCAGAATTTCTTTCTTATCTTAATTCAGTAGATTTTGACCATCTCTTACTTTTCTTTGGAGTTTTATCATTCCTTGGTAATTTTCAATGACTTTAACTTAAACCTGTCTACTGTATTTCTAAACAAACTTAAAGTTAACTAAATTAGCCTCTTAAGCTTTGTGCTATTAGGTAATAGTAACACTTTTTGTCTCTTTTGGCCGTTTTAGGCTTGTGTCTACAGTTATTGAATTTACCTGATACCCATTTTAGCTATGTTTGGTCAACTCTGAACTGTTTTCAGCTAATATTTGTTGGAGGTAAATGTTGTGTAGCAATATACTGTATGGACGCCAGAAGAGTCTAAAGCTGACAGGAAACTAAAAAGTTAACCCTTGCATGCATGCAGTGCTGACCTTTGACACACACTCTTTGTCTTTCAGCCTTGTTGTTATATGTATAAAAAAAGAGGTGTTACATTTTCAGCATTTCAGTCCTAGTGTGTGTATTTCTGCACATGTGGTCTGGACAATTCAGGGTTTGGCACTCGTGACTCAAGTGTCCCTGCCTGCTGCGTGGTAAACAATGCAGGTTTACACCCAGTGTTCAGTGCTGCGTGTGTCTGGAGGTTTAGGTCTGGCATGTCAGAAGTGTTTGTTTATTTATGCTGTCTTTTCCTGCCTCTCTTTGAGGAAAGAGTCTCTCTGGCCTCAGGATTTCAGTTTGTTCCTGAGGTCTGAGGTACATGAGCACACATTCACGTGCTTGTGCACACACACAGGCACACCCCCGGTGATGCATTACATTCCGCTGCAACATGAAGGAACTTTTTGCCTGTTTCCACAATGGTCCAACAGGTTGCACAGTTTAGGTGAGTCCCATGAACAGAGGCTCAGTTTGACTTCAGTTGATTTATTCAGGAGCAAACAGAAATTGCAGTCAGGCGAAGGGGAGAAAATCAGAGGAATATTATTCTCCCGTGGAGACTGGAACCACAGCAGATCATTATAGAAGTCTGCAGCTGTGCAATTAAGGCTGTTACATAAGTCAGAAATAGAACTGGTGAAAGTGAAAGAAAATTGTTTGAGAATATTCTCTATAACAGAGGTTAATGTCACATTTTAACTGCAACTGAGTTGTATCTTGTTCAGTTCATTAGTTCCTGTAAAACAATCAAACATAACATGAATTAATTTTAGTTTTGTAACTGCAACCAAAAAAGGGAGAGAGTGAGAAAGAGAGAGACAACAAAAAACTTTCCTTATTAAGTCAGACCCATTTCCTTGTTTTCTAATGAAGTTTTACTTCCTCCTCATGCTTTCTTTCTTCATGTTCCCTCTCTCTTCCCAACATGTCATAATCCCAGGAGCAGCTCCCCCACAGCGAGTTTACAACTCCACATTTTCCGCTCACCAGTCATTTTTTCCCTCTGTGGTTGATGGTCAGCTCTTCCACTTCTCCTGGCTGTAAACTTCAGGCCATGTCCTGGTTTCTGACTGCTGTTGATTACAGCCCTGCAGCACAACAACGCACGGTCAACACTTATTTTCACAATATCCATTTAGTTGTGGACATTTCAACAAATTCTTGTTTCTGTAGATGTTTTCTTTTTTTTTTTTTTATTAAAATGTAAAAGAATGTGACCAGAGGCATCAGACGCAGATGCTTGTTTTAAAATTCTTTGGAAATTCTCTATTTCACTAAAATTCTAAAAGTCACAAGTTCGTCACCAGTGGTGCTCTATGGAGGGTGATAACTGAGGATGATGCCAAGAGCCCCTGACTGAAAAGGGCACGTATTCTGCCTGGTACGTAGATTGTAGAAATACATCCCTGTTCTTATGTGTGTTACATAAATACAGGCCCATCCTCATATCTTTCCATGAGGCCCAGAATTCCTGTTTGCACACTCATAGGTCATATATACAGCTGGGGAACCATAATGTTGTGTGGCTGCTGGATGAGGCTGTAGAAGGAAACCAAATGCTGTATTCAGAAGAATTTATATTAATGACTGTGAATAGGACTTTTGAACATTACCAACATGTTGATGTTGATCATCATCACAAACGAATACTTATATGAATAATTAAGCTACTACTTCAGCCTATGAGGATGTCAGAGTAAATTTTACAACAGGGAACTAAACTAAAACAAAGAAAAATAATTTTCATCTTCTCAGACTGGAATTTTTATACTAAAAGTTCAGAGAAAACAATAAAAAAAAAACAAAATAGGGAAAATTGTCACAGCTGCCATTGTAGCTGTGCTTTCTGGAAGAGGCGTTTGTAGATTTGTCAATTTTTCCTGAGGAGGTAGTGAATGTCCTGGACTAAACTGAGTAAAATCAAACTAAAAAGAACACATGATGTTCTGATGTCTTATAGCCACAGCATTCTGAGCTGCAGCTGGGTTTGTGACACTGCATGAAAATCTGTGCAGCATTCTCATACCTAAGTCTGTGGTTCAGTAGTTGGACT